GATGGAGGTAGTGAAAACATAACACTTGATTTATGGGTCTGGTTGGGTTTTTTTGTGGAAAAAGAACAGAAGAAGGAAAAGAGGGGGAAAAAAATAAAGTGAAGTGAGAGAGGAAGGTGGAATAAAAGGATCAACATGGGAAAGGGAAACCAGAGCAAACCTTCACCTGAAGCCCACTGTTACAGACTCTCCCACAGACCGGGGAGAGGTGGATGGGGATGAATTTTCACCACTTTGGGTGGTGAAAATCTCCCAAACATCCCCAAATTGTGCCCTCAGCTGGAGGGATGGGAGGCAGGATGTGGCACACAGAGCTAAGGAGTGGCTGGGAAGATGCTCCTTCCCCACCTGAGGGATGCTCTCCCTGGGAGGATGGAGGGGACCCCCAGAGCACCGAGCCCCCCTCCTGGGCTGGCAGAAGCAGCTCACAGCCTTTTCCCCAGAACTGGTGACAAACATCCCAATTCACACCCAAAGTGATGGGGGGAGTCCCCCAGCCAAACAACACAAGGGGAGAAAAAAGTGTAGGAGGTGAAATTTTCAAGGAAAAGGTGGGGGTTTTTGTAAATTTGTTTTTTCCTCGGTTTGCTGAAATTATTCTGGAGAGGAAGAGGGAAGTGAAAAGGGGGGACGGAAAAGGAAACATACTCATCCTCTTCATCCTGCTTTCCCCCAGGCCCACACGTGGCCTGTTGCCAGCAGCTCTGGATTTAACCCTTCCATTGCCCTCAGACCCCAACCCTGGCAGTGGCCTCAAACACACGACAGCAACAAACCCCAGGGACCCCGAGACTGCCTGCAAGAACCAGACCCCTGTGGGGGCTCGGCTGCCCCTCACACAAGCACAGCCCCCTGCCAGGCTCCCACCAGCACCAACCCCTCATCCAAACATTCAGCAGAGCCAGGCTCTCTGCCACCCCCCAAAACAACCCCCAGAGCAGGGAGTCACCCTGTCCCCTTGCTGACCACCCGATCCCAGCTATCACAGCCCACAGAGCTGATCCTCATCGATCCATCACCATCCTCACCGCACCTCGCCAGCCCTTCCCAAGGTTCCACCCATCGTTTAGGGTCCTGCTCCACTCCCAAATCTCCTGCAGGGGTGGGCAGGTGACTTCCCACCCCATCCTTGCTCCTACAGCTGCCGGCAGCAGGGTCACCTGAGCCACTCCCTGTGACCTCCTTCCTTCCATCCTCCTCCTCCTCTGCGCACTGAACCTCGGCCATCCCGGCACAAACACCCCAAAACCAGCTCTGCCGAGCCCTGGGAAAGACCAGCCTTCCCGGGCCGGGGGTCTCAGCCCCCCCAGCTGCCAGCCCCCAGCCCCAGCACCGCGCGGGAGGGGAGGGGGCGATGCCGCTGCCCCCACCCCGGCTTACCTGTGCTCGGCTGCGGGCTGGAGGATCCACAGAGAGTTCAGAAGGTAAAGATCAGAAACAGACTTTGGTAAGTAACCACACGTTTAGAAAGGAATATATCAGTTTGGAAACATCTCAGTGCATACTTCTTATATGAAAATATACACAAATGTATTTCATTCTCCAAAAAAGGAACAATTAAAAACGAAAGCAAACTAGCCCAAACACAATATATTAGCTGTTTTTTTGTTGGTTTTTTTTCTTGTTGTTGTCATCCTTTAAAATCTTTTAACGCTACACTTTGTTCAGGTTACACTTTTTTTGTCTTTTTTTTTTTTTTTTTGTAAATGTTTTTTTTTCTTCATGCATTTTACACCTTTATAGCCTTTGAGAATAAATAAGCTCCATTTTGCTTCCACATCTCTAAAAACTGCAGCATTTTAACTATTGTCATTTAAATCGTGCAATTTTTTTTTGCAACACCCCTTTTTAAAAAATGGAAAATATATATATATTTTAAAACTAAACCCTATACAACGCAAAAATTCCAAATTAAAAAAAAAAAAATTATACACAATTGTAACTGTCAACAGTACAGATGAGCACGAGAAATAAAATTAGATCAGAAACATATTTATAGAAGCACAAAGGAGGGTGTTGGTTTCTTAGATTGTCATTCTTCTCGTTGTCTTTTGAAAATTAGGAGGAGTTTACCAGATACTACAGTCTGGGGGGAAATAAAGGATAATGACCCGGACAAAAAAAAAAAAATAGAATATAATAATAAAATAACCCCAAGCCCCCAACAAAATAAAGACCCCGACAAACAGCCCCCAAACCCCTTTCACTGCGACGTGAAGCCGACCCAGGGCATCCATCCCCGCCTCCCCACGAGCCGTACTTGCCCGTGGCACCAGCCCAGGGATCGCCGAGTCCCGCAGCCGCAGATCCGCTCCGGCACGGCCCGGCCCGGGCACACCTGAACCCGCGTCTACGGAACCCAGAGCGTTTTTGGCTTGGATTTTGTGTTTTCCAGGCTCTCAGCTTCCAGGCAGAAGTGTGAATTCGGGAGTCAGGGCATGAAGTTAATGAGCAAAACTGGTTTTTTTGGTTTTTTTCCCCCCTCACGGTTGCTCTGCACCGACGGCGTCGAGTGCCGGGGGGTCTCGGCCGCCGCCTCCTCGCTGGGGTCTCTGGAGCAAGGCGCTCTGCTGGGCCCTCCCGCCGCGCCGCTGCCGGGGGGGCAGACCCCGCTTCCTTGGGTTGAGTCGGTTTTGTGAAGACAAAATAAAATAAAATAGAAAACGAGAGCGATGAGACGTCATTATCCCGCCTAATTTCCAAAGCAAGGCCGTGCAAAGAGCTCGGGTGCGCGTCCGGTACATCCGGCACCGCCGGGTCGGGGCGTGGGCGAGGAAGACCATGGTCCGCAGCATCTCTCCTGCTTCCCAAAGGACTGCCAGAGATGGAGGGAGGGAAGGAGATCCGCTTCTGCCGCAGCCAGCGTTCTGGAGGTGAGAGCTGAGCGTGTCCCTGGCACACGGTGGCACCCACCGGGCTCGGCTCGGGGAGACGGGGGCGTTCAACTGCACAAAACCTGCCAGGGGTCCCTTCCAGCACCCCTCCCCTACCCAAGGCCTTTCCGGAGCACGGGAACAGGAGAGGGAATTCCAAATTTATCACTGAGAAAGAATAAAACCATCATTTGGAAAAGCCTCTGTGGCAGCAATTTGGTATTTCCAGGTCTGAAGGGTGGGATTTTATCTGGCACATCTCTCGTGCCTCAGTCCACAGCAGGGATGGCGGTGAGGAGCGGGTACCCAGAACGGCAGCACCGTTGAGAATCCACCACCTCCACCCCTTCACCAGGTCTCCACACACAAACAGGTACTGATTTTCACCCATGTTGCTGGAGGATTTCCTCTCCTCCTCCAACCACTCCCTTTAGGCCGCCTTATTCATTTCATAATAATCATCAGCTTTTTTTGTCTTGTTTTTCCAATTAGGAACTTTGTGATAAATGCTGGGTTGGAAGAAGTTTATAAAACCCCATAAATTTGTTTCTGGGTTGCCCTCATCCTGGGACATTTGTACACCATCTGCCTCATTCCAAGGTGGAGCTGGCTCCTGACACCTGGCAGAGGGATCCAGGAGGGGAAGAAAGCCCACCACGACTCAGCTCCTCTCCCTTTGCTCTGTCTCAGGGTAGAGCTGAACCCCAGGCAGCTCCAGCTCCTCCACAGCCCCCCAAGGCTGGCCAGGCTCCAGCTGCCAAAGGCTGGCAAAGGTGGCATCCGGGCAGGTTTTGTGCCAGTTTGAGCCCAGGGGTGAGTGGGGCTGGGGTGTCCCTGCACAGGGTGACAGGGCAGCAGGCTGGGAGGGGGACAGGGGACTGGCATCCCTGAGGAGAGCGCCTGCAGGGACAAAGCTCATCCCTAATGGCTACACCAGCCAGGAACGGTCTCTTCTCCTCCAGACCCTCCAACTGTGAGCAGGCTGATGCATTTTGGGATCAGGGCACTGACACCCATCCCTGGGAAACTGCCAGAGCAAGTGGCAACATGGGGAAATTCCTTTTCGGAAATTCCTCGGTTTTTCCTTTTTCCTTCCACTAAATCACTGCTCAAGTCTCAAGCAGATTTTCTGCACAGCTCACCATTGCCTTTTGAGGCCTAGAAACCTTCAGGTAAAATCTCATTAGGATCATTACTTCAGTTGCATCTTTCAGTAAAAAAACCGTTTCTTCCCATTTTCCTGATTTAAAGCTTTCCCATGTGCAATGGGAACACATTTCTAAAATGCTTTTATGGATGTTGTTTGCTAAAATCCCTAATTTGCTCTAACACATCCCCCTCTCCACAGCCCTGCTGTGCCCAGGTGGAGGTGAGGCACTCCTGGGAAATGGGAACTCCAGTGTTCCAATGACCCTGCTCAGAAACAGTGAAGTTCCCTGCTCTGGTAGAAAGGATGCTGTCTGCATCCACTTCTCATGCAAACGGGATTAAGCCTTAAAAATCCACCTTACTCCCCTGATGCAGCTTTCCAGGATTGCAGGAGCCTCAAGCAGGCTGTGGATGTGGCTGCATCCTGTTTCATATCAAAGCTGGGCTATCCAAGCCGACCTCCGCTCCCTTCCCAGCCGGTTCAGGAAAACTGGGGTAGGAAAACCCTTCTGGAGGAAAACCTGTGTCTACCGAAGCCCTTTGAGCTTCCAGAGAGCTGGGTCGTGCCTGAACTGCCCATGGACCCAGGAATGGCCAGGAAGGTGCATTTTGGGGGTGCTCTGCGCCCCGTGTCCCCCCGGAGCCCGTCCTGCCACAGGCGCTCTGCCTTAGGGATACGGTCCCGCTTCCCAGGGGTCTCTCCAGCCGGTGGGCACCGAGTGCCCGGCCCGCCCGCCCGCGGGGGAGCATCGCCAGGGACTGCTGGTTTTGGTGAGGACACGGATATTCCGTCCCTGTCCCCCCTTCCCGCACGCCCGGCCGTTCCCGAGCCCGCGGCCGAGGAGCGCCGTATGTACTGCATGCATCGCCTGCTGCGCTAGAATGAATGCCTACAAAATCCTAAAGCTATTTCTCAGGCAGTTTACGATAATTTCCCCCCACCCCAGCCCATCCCCATCACCCGTTTCGCCCCCGCCC